AATATATATATATATATTTTAAAGATTTTATTTATTTATTCATAGAGACACAGAGAGAATGAGAGGCAGAGACACAGGCAGAGGGAGAAACAGGCTCCATGCAGAGAGCCTGATGTGGGACTCAATCCAGGCTCTCCAGGATCACATCCCCGGCTGCAGGCGGCACTAAACCGCTGCGCCACCAGGGCTGCCCTTTAAAGTTATTTTAAATAGAATTTTCCTTTTGGATGATTCATAGCTGATGTATAGAAACACAGCTGATTTTTTTGGTATTAATCTTGTACCCTGCAACTTTGCTGAATTTGTTTATTAGTTCTAGTGATTTTTGTTTGGTGGAATCTTTGGGATTTATTTTCCATGCATAGGATCACATCATCTGTGAATAGAAATAGTTCTACTTCTTTTCCAGTTTGTATGCTTTTCATTTCTTTTCCTTGCCTAATTGCTCTGGCTAGAATTTGGAATAGCAATGGTGAAAGTGGGCATCCCAGTCTTGCCCTTGATCTTAGAGAGAAAACTTTCAGAGTTTCACCCCATGTTACCTGAGAGTTTTTCATAGCTGCACTTTATGATGTTGAGAAAGAGTCCTTCTATTCCTAGTGTACTTAATGTTTTTATATTGAAAAGTATTGAAATTTATCATGTGTTATAGCATCAGTTAAGAAGATCATGTATTTTTTTCCCCTTCATTCTGTTAGTGTGCTGTAGTACACTGATTAATTTTCTGTATTGAACCATGTTCGCATTTCTGGGATATATCCTAATTGGTCATGGTGTTTAATCCATTTATCTATCTATTGATCAATTGATCGATCAATTTTATTTTCAAGTAATCTCTTCACCCAACTTGAGGGTTGAACTTACAACCTTGAGATGAAGAGTCACATGCTCCAACAACTGAGCCAACCAAGCACCCCAATCCCCCAAATTTTGAGAACGTTTTCATTATTCTAAACAGAAATTCTGTATTCATTAAATAACAATCCTCTATTTTGTTTTGTTTTGTTTTGAGAGAGAGAGAGAGAAGGAGCATGCAAGTGGGTGGGGGGGAAGGGTAGAGAGAGAAGGAGAGAGAATCTTAAGCAGGCTCCACTTTCAGTGCAGAGCCCAATATGGAGCTCGATCTCACAACCCTGAAATCATGATCTGAGCCGAAATCAACAGTCAGACATTTAAGTGACTGAGCCACCCAGGTGCTCCTGCCCTAATCCTTTTAATATGCTATTGCATTTGTTTTCCTAATATTTTGTTGAGGATGTTTATACCAATATTTATAAGTAATACTGGTCTATAATCTTCTCTTCTTGTGTTGTCTTGGTCTGACTTTGGTATCAGAGTAATCCTGGCTTCATGAGTTAGGAAGTATTTCTGCCTCTCATACTTTTTAAGAGTTTGAGAAGAATTAGTGTTAATTCTTCTTTAAATGTTCAGTAGAATTCAACAATGAAGGCATCAGGGATCACTGTCTTTTCTTGTTGTGTCCAGTGTCTTGAAAATCATTGTTTCATCTATTTTGTCTTGTTATTGTTATCTCAGGCAAGAGGGTAATCTGGTCTCAGTCACTCCATATTGGCCAGAGGTCAACATTAAGCCAATGCCTTTGCTTTTTATTGTGGTAAAATATATATGTAACATAAAATTTACTATTTGTGATGGTTAATTATATGCATCTACCTGACTGAGCCTTGGGGTACCCAGATGTTTGGTTAAATACTATTTATGGGTATGTCTGTGAGGATGTCTCTGGGTGATATTCAATCTGAGTTGGTAGACTGAGTAAAGCAGATTACCCTACCTAATGTGGATGGGTATCATTCCATGTGTTGAAGACCTGAATAGAATAAGAGACTGTGTAGGAAAGAATTCTCTCTGCCTGACTATCTTTGAACTGGTCTTCTCCTTCTTTTGTTCTTAGACTGAAACTTACACCACTGGCTCCTGGGTTGGGACTTCTCAGCCTCCATAATTGCAAGAGGCAATCCCTTTAAACAAATTTCTTCCTAAGATATATTGATTATGTTTCTCTAGAGAATTCTAATACTTAACCCTTTATAAGTGCACAATTCACTGGCAATTAAATACATTCTCGTGTTGTGCAATCATCAACGCTACCCATTTTGAGAACGTTTTCATTATTCTAAACAGAAACTCTGTACTCATTTTTTTTTAATTTTTATTTATTTATGATAGTCACAGAGAGAGAGAGAGAGAGAGAGAGGCAGAGACACAGGCAGAGGGAGAAGCAGGCTCCATGCACCGGGAGCCTGACGTGGGATTCGATCCCGGGTCTCCAGGATCGCGCCCTGGGCCAAAGGCAGGCGCCAAACCGCTGCGCCACCCAGGGATCCCGAAACTCTGTACTCATTAAATAACAATCCTCTATTCCTGTTCCTACCATGCCTTGGTAACCTGTATTCTATCTTCTGTCTCTGTGAATTTACCTATTCTAGGGACCTCATATCTGTGGAATCATACAGTATTTGTCTTTTTGTGACTGGCTCATTTTACTCATCATAAAGTCCTCGAGGGTCATCTGTGTTGTAGCAGGTGTCAGAATTGCCCTCCTTTTAAAGGCTGAATAATATTCCATTTTGTGTATATGTATCACATTTTGTTTATCAATTTGTCTATTGATGGAGATTGAGTTGTTTCTGCCTTTAGCTTTCATGAATAGTGCTGCTGTGGACTTGGGTATATAGTACATGTAAGGCATGCCTTTTTTTTAAGATTTTTTTTATTTTAATTTTTATTTATGATACACAGGGAGAGAGAGAGAGAGGCAGAGACACAGGCAGAGGGAGAAGCAGGCTCCATGCACCGGGAGCCTGACGTGGGATTCGATCCCGGGTCTCCAGGATCGCGCCCTGGGCCAAAGGCAGGCGCCAAACCGCTGCGCCACCCAGGGATCCCAAGGCATGCCTTTTTAAGCTCACGGTTCTTTTTTTTTAAAGATTTATTTATTTATGATAGACATAGAGAGAGGCAGAGACACAGGAGGAGGGAGAAGCAGGCTCCATGCTGGGAGCCCGACGCGGGACTGGATCCCGGGACTCCAGGATTGCGCCCTGGGCCAAAGGCAGGCGCCAAACCGCTAAGCCACCCAGGGATCCCCACTCACGGTTCTTTTCATCAAAGGAACCATGTAGTGGGCATCAGCTTTTTTCTGTCCAGTGACCCTCCCTTCTGTCATGGCCCCTCCTTCACCAGGAAAAGAAGAGAATCTATAATCAGGGATCAATCACCCCAGTTGTGTGAAATATCTCCTCTGCCCCAATTGTGGCCACTTGGTCCCAAGCTGAACAAAGCAGGGCGGAGCTGAGGAAAGTGAGGTAGAGACACTGTTTGCAGCCTTACCACCAGCTACTTGGAAATTCCACTCTCAGGGAATAGAGCACACCTACATAAAGTATTGAGAGAGTTGGAGAGGATGCCCTGATTCCAGATGCCTCCATGGCCCAGGTGTACTTCTTTCCTTCATGTGATGACTTGGATACTCCAATATCCCTCTCACCCTCTTGCCTAAGCTAGCACCTTTTGGATTTATGTCGTGTGCAACCAAAAGGACATAAACTCAAAAAAAAAAAAAAAAAGATGTGAACTCACTACTCTGCTCAGTCCATGTCAGAATTCCTCCCGTCAGGAAGGAGTAAAGCAGTTTATCTTAGGTTAGATTCTCCTAGAAGCTTAACCCAGGCCAAGGATTAAAGGGCAAGTGATTTATTAAAGCAGTGGTCTCAGGAAAAACCATTAAGGGAATGAAGTAGGTGGATGAGTGAGGTAAGCAGGTGAAGAAGACTATAAAGTGTGCGCGCGCAGCTCTGGAGTAGAAATAGCACCGTATAATTGTCCCGCTCCAGTCCAAGGAGCTGGACTCCAGCACTGACATACCAGTCACTGACTATAAGCCCCCTTGGAGCAGGGAGGGTGTGAGGACATGAAAGTTCCCATGGATAAATATGTTCTATATCCAAGGGCAAACCTCTGAAGGTTGCAGGTTTAAGCCATTGGCAGGGAAACCCAGAATTCTGGCTCACAGTGCTGGTAAAAAGGATCTGAGGATCTGAGATGGAGGACACAGTGTTTGAAGTGACATCTGGGGAAAGCTTGGGCGTCTCTCTGTTCCTCGCAGCCTGCCTGCCCCATCCCCCCGTTAAGGCTGGAACTGCCATTAATACTCACATATCCATGAACTGGCTGACCCAGCGATCCATCATCAAAACTGATGTGTGTCACTCTGTGTTTGCATGCTGGGAAACTGTCAGCTTTTCCTCATTTTTCACAGTGACTTCTAATGTTCTACATGAGGCATTCTGTTTATCAAATGTGTACTGGCTAGAGAAAAAGAAAGAGGTTCTTTAAGGCCTTTTCTGCCTCCACAGCAAAGGGTTTGAATGCCAGCAATGGTCAGCCAGGCAAAATAACAATGATTATAATAGTGAATTCTAGCTTTATTGAGCACTTAACTATGTACTATGCTTTACATTCATCTCATTTAATTGAATAATTATACAAGGGAGTTACCGGGGAGGGGGGGGTCGTCCCTTGGTGGCTCAACGGTTTAGCGCCTGCCTTCGGCCCAGGGTGTGATCCTGGAGTCCCAGGATCGAGTTCCAGGATCGAATCCCACATCGAGCTCCCTGCAAGGAGCCTGCTTCTCCCTCTGCCTGCATTTCTGCTTCTCTCTCTCTCTCTCATGAATAAATAAAGTCTTTAAAAACAAAAACAAAAAACAAGGGAGATACCATTATTATCTGCATTTTCCAGATAAGGAATCTAAGCTAATAAATGATGGAGCTAGGGTTTAAATCCAGGTTGTCTTGACTCCACAATTTAATTAATTTATCATGTGTTAAATAACAAAGATCCACGAAATAAAATATTGAGTAATATTAGGAGAAATAGGAGCACCTGGGTGGCTTAATGGTTGAGTGTCTGCCTTTGGCTCAGGTCATGGTCCCAGGGTCCTGGAATTGAGTCCCACATCCGGTTCCCCTCAGGGAGCCTGCTTCTCCCTCTGCCTATGTCTCTGCCTTTTTGTGTCTCTCATGAATAGATTAAAAAAATATTTTAAAAATATATATTAGGAGAAACATGAGAAACAGTTTTATTGGAAATATTCTAATACATTTTCTGAACAAGAAATCAAAAAATAAATAAGGACATAGCAGATATGAACATCCAAAGTTTTTTAACCTGAAAACAAATAGTGTACCTTCTATTCAAGTTCCATGGACAGTGACAAAATTCAAGAATATTAAGTTACAGAGAATATTTTGGTAAATTTTGAAAAGTGGAAATTCTAAAAGTCAGTCTCTGATCAAAATGCAATACAGCTAACAATAATATAAAACACACCACTTAGAAATGGAAAAACATGAATAGCATATCAAATTACAAGAAGTAAATCAAGAGTAAAAAAACAAACCATTAAAAAATAATTTTAAAAACAGGATACAGTCAAAACTATCTGCAGAGGTAATTAACACCATTAAATGCTTTTAGGGTCAAAAAAAATAAAATGAATGAATTAAGCACATAAGTTGAGATTTTGGAAAAGAGCATAAAAATAGCCTTTCCTCCCCTAAAAAAAATGGAGAAAGGAAATACTTGAAATAGAAAACAGAAAAAAACACACACCCAGAAGCTTAAGAGTAGGAGAGATGTGCCTTCCAGCCTGTTGACAGAGAGGTATATAGCGGCACTCAGCATGAACTTGGTCCTCTGACAGGTGTCCTCAATCCTCCCCCTCCTCACTGTGCATGCTCTGCTTGGTGTGCTATCTACTGCTGAGTTAAGTTACCCCAGTTCTCATTTCTCCAACTAGTAACAATTTCTCTATGTCAGCACCACATCTTGTACACAATGTGCCTGCATGGTGGCATTTTCACATGCTTTACAACAAATTCTCTCCACTGTGATTCCTGTTCTATTAGACTTGCAGTCTTTAGAAGAGGAACTATGTCCTGATCATCACTGTATCCTCAGGACCTGGGACAGGTGAGTCCTTAATAAATGTTTGTTGAATGAAGGAATGAGTGGATGGGCTCAAGCACTGATTCCTGAGTTACATTTGGTCGTGGGTTGCTTCTGTCCCCACTACCCAACCACAGGCTCCAAGCCAATGTCTTGAGGCCTGGAAATGAGTTATTCCAACAGTAAGAGGACAAACCATAACGTAGCTGACTAATGGGATATTTATGTAACTGACAATGATTGTGTGGACAATGTCAATAAAATATGAGGAAAAAGGGCTTTGATTTTTTCCCCTTATTTTTTTCTTCTGCTTGAATGATCAAATGTTTCCTTTGTGAAATGGAAAATAGTCCTCTCTGTCCTCAAGACTTAGTTCAAATGCCACCTTCTCCAGAGAACTTTCTCTCATTTCTCCAACTAGTAATAATCTTGCCATTTCTGGCCTTCCAGAACATCTGCCCCTCCCTCTGGTCTCTTGAAATTCTACCTTTGCTTATTTGTGTCTCCATGGGCTGTGGATATTCTCTAGACAGGATTGTGGGTCTTCTGCACAGCACCACCCCTGATAAGTAAAGGATGCACTAGGATGTTCATCCAGACTCAGCCCATTTTCCTTGGCATGTGCAGGGGTGCAGACAGGACAGCATACTTTGAATGGGTGGTTGGTTGCCTGGCTGACAGACTACACTGAACTCAAAGCATGTGAGGGCACAGAATCACAGTGACCAAACAGACTCCCGCAAACCTCAGGATCAGCTTCCACCTACAATGCACCTGGCTTAGAAAAGATCCCAGAGGGAAGCTGTGCAGCTCCAGCTAGAATGAACCAGGGAGATGAGGGATGCTATCATTACCAGAGGCTGAGAAATAGCACTGAGGCAGATGTGTTGGTCATCTTTTGTGCCCAGGTGGATAAGGAGAGGGCATTCCAGACACAGGGATCCATCTGAACAATCGTCAGTGGCAAGAGGATAGCAAATTTACTTTAGAAAGAACCATAGTGTTAGCCACTGCCATGACTCTCCCTCTTTACTTGGCTGTCAGAACAGTCTTTCTAAATCTCAGATCATACTGTGGCATTCACTCCTCTACTCAGAACTCTTCAGTGGTTCCCCATAGCCCTCAGTATTTGGTCTGACATTATAGGCTTCACACAACCTGGCCCCCCATCTCTCCATTGCCATCTCCTGCTACACACATCATGCCTCCAAACAGTGAACTCCCTTAGGATTCCTAGTCTTGCCTCTCTCTTTCCTCACTATACTTACAGCATTTCATCCAGGACCATGCATTCAAAAATCACCCATACATGGCAACTCCTAAATTGTCCTCTGCTCTGGACTTCTCTCCAGAACAAAACATATCCAATTACTACTTGACATCTTCACCTGAATGTCAAAGACATCTCAAACTCAACTATCTAAAAATACCCATCTCAACTGAATCCCTTACTCTGCTTATCTTCCCCATATCAGTAAATATCTCCACCAACCACCCAGCCTCTTCCTGGTCATTCCCTCTCTGTCCACTTGCACTTTCCCACACCATGAGTTCCCACTGATTCTATAGCCCAAGTTTCTTGAACATCCAAATTCATTCTCTGATCTAAGCCACATATCCCACCTGGACTACACAAGAGCCACCTGCCGGGTCTTCCTGCTTCCTCCTCTGAGCCCCTACAACATATTCTTACACACAGTCAGAGTCTAATACGCAAATTGAACCATGCCACTCTACCAAAGCAGGGTAAAATCCAGGCTTCTAGTTTTAAGAGGCTCCTAAGAGGCCAAATCTGAGATAATTTGAGCACCAAAATAATTAAGGTTAATAACTAAGATTATTGGAAAGCAGTAGGAACCCAAAAGTCCCTGCTAATAATAAATATATAAATAAATAGGCAGAAAAATGTCAAGGGGAGAGAGCGCTGAAGCCATTCTGTAACCCTCCTAACACTGATTTGCTCCAGGCAAGAAGCCTCGTTGGATATTAAATCTCATCTACTTAGTAATCTCTGGAATAGGATATTTGCACATTTGTAACTATCTCCCTGATTGCTTATCAGTGACAAGGGAAAACCAGTAAGTACAGCTTAATCAGACAAAATTTAAATCACCAAGGAGGAGGAGATAGACTGTGTATGCCTTTTGTTGTCTCACCGGGAAAGACACAGTAACATTTCTATTATCTTCCAGCAGGAATGTGTGATGAAGAAATAGAGGACAAATGAGGAACATTCTCTTAATGGGGAAAACTAAATTTTTCCATCATGTCAATGTCATAGAAGACAAAGCCAACTATTCCAGATTAAAGGAGACTAAAGAGAAATAACAATGGAATGCATCACTTCATTTCTGGACTGGATTCTGGACTAGAGGGAAAATGCTATGTAAAGGACATTATTGAGCTAATTGACAAAAAGGTTGGTAAATGAGATATTGTTTTGCATTATAGTTCAAAATAAGGGTCACATATAACACTTCATACAGAGAAAGAATTGGTAATTTTAACAGGTGAATTTGGGACAAAGGACAGACAGATGCCCATTGTACTATTCACCTCTCTTTGTAACTTTGAAATTATTTCCAAATAAAAAGTTAACCCAAAGAATCCAGGCTCCTTAACATGACCCACAAGGCACCTGCCACCCCCTTCCCCCCAGCCAGCCTGTCCAGTCTTATCTTTACCAGTCTTATAACGGCCAGCATACTCGGCTTCATTGATCCATTGACATGGCTGCCTTTCAGGTTCCCCAACATACCAGTTCTTGCTCACCCCTGGGTCTTCATGCGCACACCTACTATTGCCTTTATAAGGACTTCTCTTCCCCCAACTCAGTTCTCAGTGATACAATAATTATCATTTCTCAAAATGGTTTTTGACCCCCACTCTGACCTAATACAGACCTATTATATTCTTTCATAGCTCCTCGACTTTTGCTTCATGATATTTATCACAGTTTGTAATAGTTTATATTTTGGGAGGATTCCTAATGCCATCTTCTCTAGTAGCCTGAAAGCTCCCTAAAGCCAGGGATCCCATTTGTTTCACTCCTGAATGTTGTCCTCCATCCCTGCTACTGGACCTGGCACACTGCCAGGCACTTAGGACACAGCTAATTAAATGATGAATTCCACCCTCCAAGTTCACCTGCAAATTGTTGACAGCTCTCAGAGAACATACCCTACAATCCACATCTAATTCCAGGAATGGATTCATGAGGCTCTGTCTATTCAGGCTTCTTGGATTCCCTATCACTACACCAGTACTTGAAACTAAGAGGCCATGGTAAGGAAGAAGGGGGACTTGGGGGAAGGTGTATGTTAATGGAGAGCTGATGAATTCAGCTGAGAGCCTGGAACCTCAGAGGGGGATGTCAAAGAGGTAGTTGGCTGGATTGAGCTGGTGCTCAGAGGGGCAGTTGGGATTGGAGAGGTGACCCATGGCCAAAGCTGTGGGCATCATCAGGAGGATCCCTCACACACCTGTATGTGCAAAAGAAAGATAAAAGAGTCCAAGGAATGGGGCCTGAAGGACGCAGACTTAAGGGTTACACAGGAAAAATGTCTCTGGAAGCAAAGAAACAGTGTCCAGAAAAGTAGGAGTAATATTGGGAAGGAGAAAGAGAAAGAGCTGTCATAGAAGGCCAGAGAGGAGGCCAGTTAGGCGCTAAACCCCATACATTTGTGTTTCCTTTTTCCTTGTTCAAGCTCAGCATCTGGCATCCCATGAGTTAAGCTGGACTGGTGGGGACTAAGGGCTTGGACTCTTGCCTGAATCTTGACTCGACCACAAATAGGCTGTATGACTTGGGGCCATGGACTTAATTCCCAGACTCCAAGCCCCTGTCTGTAAAACAGAAATTGTGCTAGTATTCACTTTTCAGGGCTGCTGCCAGGATTACATGAGCTCATCTCTGGAGAGCTCTTTGATCCATGTTTGGTTTATAGTCTGGGGAATGAATGAACATCGTAGGTGCACACATGGCAGGAACCGGATGCACGGCCCAGCTAAGAGGATTGTTTCCTAGGATTAGCCAATGACAGGGCTTCAGACAATAGTCAAAGAACCCCCTCACCACCTTCTATCCAGGTCCCCTTCCCCTGATCCAATCCCTATTAAACAAACCTATAGTGAGCAGATTCTATTTAACACAGTCCCTTCTCCAAAGCTTCTTTCTGAAAATTCTTTCCTTCCACCCTCCAAAGCGTGCCCAAGTCAGACGATGCCAGAGTCTGTCCACTTGATTGCAACTAAACCCTGTTTCCCAAGTAACCATGGTGACACCTCTTCCTCAACACAGCCACCTTCTGTGAATATCAGTAACTATTCCCAGGCCTCTTACTCCCAGCTCTAATGTCTGCCAGTAACTTCTGACCATCCCATCTCTGAAGGAAAGAGAAGCATGTGGATACCACTTCACAGCTTAAAAAGCAAACATAACCCTCCTTTCATCCTCACAAAAGCCCTGTGAGGTAGATACAGCAGATGATAACTCCTCTGGCCCACGTTTATTGAGTATTTAGACTGTACCATGCTCTGTGTGAGTCATTTTCATATGTGATCTCATTTAAACTCACCCAAATCCTATGAAGTGGAAGTTTTTCCATTTTACAGAGGAGAAAAATGGGGCTCAGAGTGGCTAGAACTTGGCCCATATCAAAGAGGTAGTAAGTAATGGGTTCAAACCCTCAGACCATCTATTTGACTCTAAAGCCACACTTAACCCTTCGACAGTCTGGCCTCACAAAACAAGTATGTTATTTCCAGGCACCATCCTACCCATTAAATTGAAGCTCAGAGAGGTAAAGTAACTTGCCCAAAGTCTCACACCCAGGAACTAGCATGGAGCTGAGATCCACAATTGGATCTTCTGGCTCTGAGAGCCCTGAAACCAGGGAGCATCAGTGACTGGTCCTGATGATATACTAGGTAATTATTTCTGTAGCCAATTTGCCTTGCCAATCCTGCTCAGCCCAGGATAGTATTTCTATGCAGGAAGTCCTTCCTGATATTTTCTGGGAAATTTGTGTTTTTCTGAATCCCAAGACCAATCAGTCAAGAGACTGGGAAAATAGGAATAAGTGTTCTAATTCTCCTGTGAGAATTCATGCTTAGCAATAAACATAGGGGCATTCCTGGTATGAAAGAATCACTGACATCCAGTAGAAAGCATGAGAAGAAAATGCTGATATACAGAGTCCAAGATTAAGGCAGACGTGTCGGAAACTTGGGTCAGGAGGAGAGAAGTGGGGGTGCCTGGCCGGTTCAGTAAGAGGAGCATGTGACTCTTGATATTGTAAACAGAATATTAATCTGTTTACATGCATCATATATCTCATACAAATTCTATGAATGATGCTCCCAGAAATAAATTTTGGAAACAAGTCTTCAAATTGGCAATTTCAACACATACTTCTGTGTGGTACAGTTATCTTGATGAAGATTTAACATTTTGTTATTAAAATACTACCCAATAATGTTCTTTGATATTTTTTGGTTTTTCAATATTTGCTCTAGCCTACAGTTCTTTGTAACTACTCTCATTTATTTTAAAGAATACAGAAAATTATGAAAAATACAGAATAATATGATTTCAGGAATTCCAAAGAATTGCAATTTCTCATTTCTAAACCCTGAAGATGAGCATCTGTTGGGAAATTAGAAACTTTAGCCCAGAGGAAGTGGATGAGCTTCCAAGCAGCTCCTGGGATGGCAAACTACGAGGCCATCTTTCTTGGTTTTCAGGAAGTCTCTGCATAGGAGCAGATCCAGGAATAGAGCTTCCTTGGCCAATATCCCTCTAAAGGCAAAGATTCTGAGAAGAGGTTACTTCAGGGATCCATGGGCTGAGCCTGAAGTATTGGTCTTAATGTGGGATGTCTGAAGGCTCAAGTTTTATCTCAATCTCATTCCAGAGAGTATCTGCTCATTTTAATACACAAAGTTTTGTGCAATTATCATGAGAAAAATGGATGCTCCATAAATGGATGCCCTGTCAAACCTGCACTTTCACTCTTGTACCCGAAGAAGGGCTACAGCAAGCAGGGTGAGCTGTGGAATCAGGTGGGCAGACCTGGATCTGTATGCTGGTTCTGTGCCACATATGGGCTGTGTGACTTTGGGCAGGTCCTTTAACCTCTCTGAGACTTAGTTTCTCCATCTGTAAAATGTTGATAATGAAAACACCAGTGTCACTGGGATGTTGTGAGGATTAAATGAGATATCGATGTAAATCACAATGCCTAGCACAGAGTAAGCTCTCAATAAACGGGAGACATTATTTGCTAATGTGACAGGCCCAGTGGTGGAGTCCGTGGAAGCCCTTGGAACCACTCAGGGCTCCTGTGCCCCCATCCTTCTGCAGGTGAGGATTTTCCAGGTCTCTGGGCTCTGCCAGAACCCTGGGATACCCCCTCCCAACACACACACACTAGCCCAGGACGCCTTCTCTGGTCCCTGCGGGGCCAGGCTGTGAGGAGAGTGGGCACCAGGGCAGAAAGGCCTCTGTCCCACGTGGTTCCCAGGGGACTGGCGAGGTTGGCACCAGGCGGAAGCTCTTGAAGCATGTCCTCTGGTGCTTGAGGTAACCCTGCCCCAGGCCTGGCATCCATGGGCCCGCCCAGGGTGGAGCTGGGTTTGGGGTTGAGGTGGGGCTGGAGTGGAGGTGGGGGAGGTGGTGTTTGGGGTGGGAGATGGGGGTTCAGTGGGGGCGGGGTGCTGCATGGTTTTCACGTGTGCCCCCCCCGGGGGGGGTGGCTGGCAGTGTCACAGGAGGCTGGAAGCCAGCAGACGCGGGGTGAGCGCGCTGGTGACAGAGGTGGGCATGGCGGAGCCTTCGTGGCCAAGTGTCCTCAGGCGCTGGGTGTGGTCCCAGTTGTGCCCGAGCCCTTTTCACACTTGGGGTGCCAGGGGAACCCGCTCACTGCGCGGGGGTCAGTGGCAAGCAAGATGGGTGCTGTGACCTTAGGTGCGGGGCAGGCTAGGGCAGCTCGCCCCCCGAAGTTCCTGCTGTAGCTGTAGGGTTGGGAGGCTCCTTCCACCCTAGGGCATGGGCAGGTGGCTGGATCTTGGGGCGGCCAAGAGAGACCTAGGGGCCTCACCTTGCCTGGGGAGCCCACTCACCTCCCCTTCCCCTGGGGGATCGTCCTGGGTGCCCTCGGGGTCTTGCTTCCTCCCCCAGGGGCTCTGGTGTCTGGCAGCACCATGGAACCTGGCCGGGCATTTGTCCGGAGGCCTCTTCTGGGAAGGAGCCTCCTGAGGGGCTCTGTCTTCAGACCTTTCTCGTGGAGGGCTCTTCTGGTCATTCTCACTCCTGAATCCTGCAGGAGGAAGAGAAGAATCTGGGTACTTATTGTTTTCTCCTCCCTCCACCCAAGACTAGGAAAATTCTGCCTTGGGAATCTTCAGTGCAGCAACTTGGTGGGAAATCTGCCAAGGACAGAGTTTGGTGTTTCTTTTTTTTTTTAATTTTTTAAAATTATTTATTTATGATAGTCATACAGAGAGAGAGAGAGAGAGAGAGAGAGAGAGACAAGGCAGAGACATAGGCAGAGGGAGAAGCAGGCTCCATGCACCGGGAGCCTGACGTGGGATTCGATCCCAGGGCTCCAGGATCGCGCCTTGGGCCAAAGGCAGGCGCCAAACCGTTGCGCCACCCAGGGATCCCGAGTTTGGTGTTTCTGACAGCAGGTGGAGGTTGAGGTAGGGGTTTGTGGGAACCCAGATCCTGAAATTTGACAGAGCTGGGCCACTCTACACTTTGTTGCCATGTGATTGGAGGCAGGTTACACAACTTCTTACAGTTTCAGTGGGGATAATGGTGAAGGCAGCTTCAAAGGACTGTCAGGGTTCAGGGAGTCCACAGACCCTCAGGAGGGCAGGGCACAATAGTGATACTTTAAATTGGAAAGGTCAAATATAAATCTGTGCCTTAATATTTTTTCCAATTCTGTCGTTACCAGGTGAGGTCCAATATCCCCTCTCCCCCTACAAACTATCATGTATACCCCTAATGCCCAGATATCAGTGTCTTATATTATTTAGCATTAAAATAACTAGGAGTCCTTGGAGAGTAGCTGATTCCATTTCTTTTTTCTTTTTTTTTTCTTTTTTTGCTGATTCCATTTCTTAAACAAGAAAAATCTACAAGCATCTTGTTGATGCCAAAAAAACAAGGATATTTTCAAGCATGTTAGGGTAGTGTTACAAAGACAAATATCCTAATTTTTTTATTTTTAGATTGTATTTATTTATTCATTAGACACACACACACACACACACACAAAGAGAGAGAGAGAGAGAGAGAGAGAGAGAGAGAGAGAGAGAGAGGCAGAGACACAGGCAGAAGCAGGCTCCATGCAGGAAGCCCAATGTGGGACTCGATCTCAGGACTCCAGGATCACGCCCCAAGCCAAAGGCAGATGCTCAACCGCTGAGCAATCCAGGCGTCCTGACAAATATCCTAATAAAATGGACTACCATTTTCAAAGCTATTACGATTTGAGCACCCTAAAATCTATAACAATCATTCTGCACAACTGAAATATCTGGGGAGGGCTGTGAGTCTCTCACCTACTCAAAAGTAGAAAGTTCATATAAAATCTTCAAAAAGGCAATTGTACTACAGGTACACTCTACTATAGGTACTAGGGGTACTCCTCTAAGTAGTTGTACTAGAAAGGTGATGAGAATAGATATATATAATTTTGATGTTTTTTTTATAAATAGAATATCAATATATGGATATATTTGTTAAAGATTTTATTTATTTATGAGAGTCAAAGAGAAAGGGAGAGACACAGGCAGAGGGAGAAGCAGGCTCCCTGCAGGGTGCTCTATGTGGGACTCCATCCCAGGACCCTGGGATCACAACCTGAGCCAAAGGCAGAAGCTCAACCACTGAGCCACCCAGGTGCCCAATATATGATATTTTGGTTCTTCTATTATCCCTCTACTTCTATTTATAAGGCATAAACATGAATTCATTTCTATCTGTGCAAGGAGGGAAGAATAGACCCAGAGAACTGTAAGCCCAGTGACCCTGGGAAGAACAGGTTACCATGACTGTACAGCACTGATAAATACATATAGTAGCCAGGTAGGAGGAGATGTCAACACTGTTCTGAGTTGATGATGTACCCATTTGTCCTGATGAGAACTAACTTCAACATACTTATTACCTTATCTCCTAAGAAAATAGTTTTCAGGGGCATCTGGGTGGCTCAGTGGTTGAGTATCTGCCTTTGGTTCAGGTCATGATCCCGGAGTCCTGGGTTCGAGCCCCGCATCAGGCTCCCCAAAGGGAGCCTGCTTCTCCCTCTGCCTATGTCTCTGCCTCTCTCTGTGTGTCTCTCATGAATAAACAAATAAAATCTTAAAAAAAGAGAGAGAGAGAATAGTCTTCAACCTGAGGAGCTTAAAAAATACTGGGCTACTGGGGATCCCTGGGTGGCTCAGCGGTTTAGCACCTGCCTTTGGCCCAGGGTGCGATTCTGGAGTCCCGGGATCGAGTCCCACGTCAGGCTCCTGGCATGGAGCCTCCTTCTCCCTCCTCCTGTGTCTCTGCCTCTCTCTCTCTCTATGTCTATCATAAATAATAAATAAATAAATATTTAAAAAAATACTGGGCTACAAAAATAAAAAATAAAAAAAACCGAGCTACAGGTCCCATCACAAAAGATCCCCAGAAAAAAAAAAAAGATCCCCAGATTCTATAATAAGGGATTAATATTCAGGATAAAGAACTCTCACAGCTTAACAACCACAAAAGTAACAAACATTAAAAAATGGGCAAAGGACTCGAACAGACATTACTCCAAAGAACACCACAAATGGCTAACAAGCACATGAAAAGATGCTCAACATCGCTATTAGGGAAATGCAAATCAAAACCACAATGAGAAAACCACAAAACCACAAAAATCACACTCATTTGAATGGCTACTATTAAAGAAAACCCCAGAAAATAACAAATGTTGATGAGGGTATGGAGAAATTGAGACATTTGCAGACGGTTGGCAGGAATGTAAAATGGTGCAGCTGTTGTGGAAAACAGTATGGCAGGCCTTCTGAAAAGAGCTGGCAAGGGGATCCCTGGGTGGCGCAGCGGTTTGGCGCCTGCCTTTGGCCCAGGGCGCGATTCTGGAGATCCCGGATTGAATCCCACGTCGGGCTCCTGGTGCATGGAGCCTGCTTCTCCCTCTGCCTATGTCTCTGCCTCTCTCTCTCTCTCTCTCTCTCTTTCTGTGTGACTATCATAAAATAAATAAAAATTAAAAAAAAAAAAAAAAGAGCTGGCAGGGAAGCCCGGGTGGCTCAGTGGTTTAGCGCCGCCTTCAGCCCAGGGCATGACCCTGGAGTCCCGGGATTGAGTCCCGCATCGGGCTCCCTGCATGGAGCCTGCTTCTCCCTCTGCCTGTGTGTGTGTGTCTCTCTCTCCCTGTGTCTCTCATGAGTAAATAAATAAAATCTTAAAAAAAAAAAAAAAAAAAAGACGGGCACTGAGGGGGACACTTGTCGGGATGAGCACTGGGTGTTATTCTGATGTTGGTAAATTGAACACCAATAAAAATTAATTTATTAAAAAAAAAAGAAAAGAAAAGAGCTGGCAATTCCACTGCTGGGTAAACAAAAATAATTGAAAGCAGAGTCTTAAAGAAATGTTTGAACACCTAGTCAAGGGATGGAAGCAACCCAAGTGTCCACTGATGGATGAATGGATAAACAAAACATGGGATATTATATACAATGGAATATTATCCACTCCAAAAAAGGAAGGAACTTCTGACACGGGCTGCAACATCGGTGGATCATGAGGATATTATGTTAAGTGAAATTAAGCCACAAAACAAAACAAGTACTGCATGATTTCATTCATAGGAGGCACCTAGGGTAGTCAAATTCAGAGCCAGAACGTGAAAGAGTGGGGGTCAGAAATTGGGGGGAAAAGGGAAAGAGGAGTTACTGTTTAATGTGTACTGTTTCAGTTTTGCAGGATGAAAAGAGTTCTGGAGATTGATGGTGGTGATGGTTACACAAGATTAATGTACTCAATGCTACAGAATTTTCCACTTAAAAATGGTTAACATGGGGGTGACTGAGTAGCTCAGTTGGTTAAGCAGCTGCCTTTGGCTCAGGTCATGATCCCAAGGGACCTGGGATTAAGCCCCGCATCGGTGTCCCTGCTCAGTGGGGAGCGTGCTTCTCCCTCTCCCTCTGCCTGCTACTCCCCCTGTTTGTGCTCTCTGTCGTCAAATGAATAAATTTAAAAATCTTTTTAAAAAAAGATTTGCCTCAAAATAATACGGGAGGAGAATCAGTAGCCATGAGTTGAAATTGTTTGAGTAGTAGGTGAGACACAAGCTGGGGGAGAAGCTGGCTCCATGCAGGGAGCCTGATGTGGGACTTGATCCCGGGACTCCAGGATCACAGCCAAAGAACACCAAACCGTAGGCAGGCACTAAACCGCTGAGCCACCCAGGGAGCCCTATATTTACCTTTCCATTTGTTTGACATTTCCTTTTTTTTTTTTTTTGTTTGACATTTCCATAAGTGTTTCTTTAAACATACAAAGGAAAGAGAGAGAGAAAAAAGAAAGAAGGAATAAACAAGAAATAAAGACAGGAAAAGAAAGAAACGTAAAAGCTACCCAAGGTAACAAGAAAACTTGATATAAACAGGAACCGGGGCTAAAAGATCCTCAATTTTGAATCTTCATAACTGTGCAACCTGATCCCACGTCTCTGGCCAGAACCTGCATCTTGAGCTTATTCTGAGACAGTTTCCTTTTTCTTTTGGGTCTAGTAGGATTACAAAAACTCTATAATGACTGTAGGATTACTGAAACCCGAGAAAGGTATAAAAATGGGAACCTCAGGAAGGTGTTGGAATTAAGTACAAGAGAGAAGGCTAAATCCATGGTTTTAGCACTTTTATAATCAGTTTTGATGGCCAGGTTTTAATAAATTCTGTAATTACTCCTTGTTTTGGGTTTTTAAAAAGATTCTGTTTACTTATTTGACAGAAAGCGAGAGTGCAAGAGCACAGCATGGGGATCAAAGCAGGGAGAGAAGCTGGCTCCCCACTGAGCAGGGAACCATAAGTGGGGCTCAATCCCAGGATCCTGGGATCATGACCTGAGCTGAAGGCAGGCACTTAGCTGACTGAGCCACCCAGGCACCCCTGCAATTACTCTATTTGTATATGCTTAAAGTATATGAGTAGTCAAAAGAATCCACCATATTAACTTTGTCTTTCTAGTTAAATTATTTAAAATAACTCAATCAGTTAAATTTGTAATCAGACCCTAAGTCCCCTATGG